TGCAAAAATGTAATTGCTTGTTTAGCAAAGACTCCAATCCAAACAACCGCTCTAACTCATCAAGTTGACTGCCAGTTAAAGGTTTCAGCTTATATTCGCCCTCAATCTCTACTAATTTTTCACAACCACGATAACATACTAAGAAACTTGGTTCGAAGCTCTCTTCTTCTGCTAACACAATACAATTAAGCTCTCCTTTGAATGTCAATTTCTCCAATGATGTGCAATCTAATGCAACCAATCTCCAACGTGATATAGTTTCTACTGCCTGTATCTTCTTGCATTCTATCAAACTCACTCCACACTCAAGAGGAAGGGAAGTAAGATCGACTGCTAGTCTGCAAAAGTTGTTTTTGCTTAAATCCAATTCCCTCAATGAGGGGTTTGTGAGAACCATGGGACTTGTTGTGCCTGATAGATCGCATTCAGAAACATCAAGCTTCTTTAACTTCGGTATATGTGATAAACAGGTTGGTAAGCAATGAAAAGTGTTTCCTTTTAGAAACAACTTCTCCAAATTTGGTAACCCACCAAAATCTCCTGGTAATGATGTATCTGAGAGATTGCAAAATGACAGATTCAATTCCTTCGCAGAAGCCAAACTCCATAATCGAGACAAACTGTAGTCACCTGCACTTCCCATCATGATGCTGTAAAGAAATCCTTTAAAAGTCTTAAGATGGCTAACGGATTTGGTTAAATTCTTCAACCCCTTTAGTTTTGAGCAGAGAGGCAAATTAAGCTTCTCAAGGGAACTTAACTCACAGATCTCTTCAGGAAGATATACGAGGTTCTTGCAGTTTTCCAAGTCCAAGCAAATGAGCTTGCTAAGTTTGCCAATGGAATGATGTAACTCAGTCAAATTAATGCAGTCTTTGAAGATCAATTTCTCAACACTTGAAAGACCTGAGATGTCAGAGGTTCTGATTAAGTTATGTGAGTGACTGAGATCAAGGACTTTTAGTTTTTTAAGAACCTGCAAAATGGACCAAATTTATTTAATGACTCCTAAAGTTGCTGGAGCACTTAATAAAGGATAATCTGACCTGAAAGGAAAATAAACAGCCATACCTTAGTTTGCTCCCAAAGATGTTGGAGGTTGCTGCATCTTAACTCCAGTACAACCAATCTTTTGAGATTTAAACTAGGCGGTACCGATTCCCAAGGACATCTTTCCCAACATAACCATCTCAATTCTTCAGACAACTGTTCACAGCCTCCAACAAAGAGAGCATTTCTAAGTTGGAGTATTCTTACTTCATTCATCTTTGCAACTGCTTCAGTCTTAAATGGCTTCTCCCTTAATTCAGGGAAGATCCCCTTAAGGCCAATGACCTTGTCTGTGCCCTGATAACAATAAGCATTAACAATGTTATACAAGAAGCTGTGTACTCTTTCAACAAGCAATTGGATATTGGACACAAAGTAAATGCCGCTGGTGCTTACCTGATTGTATTTCAGCACCTTACGAACATCCTTACAAGAGTTCAGTCTGCTGCGTTCACCAGGTTTATCATAATTTTCCCTACGAACAATTTCTTTTGCCATTTCTTGAAGCAGATCATGCATTCCTACCTTGTTTTCACTAATTGTTAAGAGACACTTTTGTGTAAGAATATGGAGATGGATACATCTGAAACCAGGACAGCCATCTAATATATGAATTGCATGGTCTTTATCCCTCCCTACAAAGAAGAATGCAATGTCGAGAAATGTGTTCTTTTGTTCATGCTCCAGTAAATCAAAACATATTTTAAGTGTTCCAAAAATTTCTGGAGGTTGAGTACTTTTGAGTTCCTCCAATGCACTAGTCCACTCAGATAGATCAGTTTTATCACATAAGAAAGCACCCAAAGCTTTAAGAGCTAATGGATGTCCTTGAGCATATCTCACAATCTCAAGAGCACAGTCTGCATAATCAGCCGGTGGACCATGCTGTCTAAAGGCATGCCAAGAAAAAAGCTGCCTATCATCATCACTGTTTAAACGCAGGACCTCATGCTTGGCATCCATTCCATGGACATTTAACAAATGTTCATCTCTACATATTACTATGATTCTACTGCCAATGCCAAACCATCTTCTCTCTTTAGCAAGAGCATCAAGTTGTTTGAAATTGTCAACATTATCTAGGATGATAAGAACCTTTTTGTTCCTTAATCGACGCCTAATCTTATCAATTCCATCATCAATATCACTTAGGTGCAAGTCTCGGACTCTTAAGATGTCAAATAGGAGTCTCTTTTGTAACTCAACCAGTCCATCACGTTTTGATCCTAGCTTGACGTCTTCAAGGAAGCAGTTACCATAAAATTTTGAAAGGATTCTCTTCCTAATTTCCTTGGCAACTGTTGTCTTTCCTATTCCAGCCATTCCATAGATTCCTATAAAACGAACATCTTCAGAGTTAAGACTCAAGAGTGATATTATATTCCTGACTGGATACTCAATTCCGAAAAGGCCCTCCTCATCACTAAGGTAAGTGCGAGGCAGTTTTTCCAAAACACATGCAATAATTGTCTCGATCACCTCGGCCTCATTCTTGGTTGTCCTGAGAAAGATTAAAATACATGTTGGAAAACACACATTGATTTCAACTAATTATTAAGTCCACCTTAAGGAGTACATCTACTAAATCAGTAGTAAGAATTTATTGGCTAACAATGTCCATTAAATGAAATTAAAAAACAAAAAGTAAAGAAGAAGAAGAAAAAGAAAACATATGAATAATTTACAGAAGGAAAGCCAAATAGTCAATTTCAAGTTATGTACTTCACACTATTGTTCATTTTTATGATTGTACGTACAAAGTGTGTCTATTGTTGTCTTTCTACTAATCTTTCCTTTTCTCATTTTCTGTTGATTAGTGAAATAGTTTTATTTTTTTTTTTTGTCTTTTTATGGGCACAAATTTTTACAATATACTAGATATACATAATATCAATCAATTAGCCAAGCAATGCATCTAACATATGACAATGCAATCAAATTTAGTTACTGCTACTAATAAATCACTATAAAATTAGACAACAACTTGCACTAACCAAAACTCAAATCTCAAACCTAAGGTACCAAAGACCTTGGCGATGCAGAGACCATCTCTAATTTATTGTTAAATGAAATGACTACAAATTAGTCACTAAGTCCTTTAAAATACATAAAAATTTAATTAATTCACTAAGCTTTTTTGACTTTTTTCAAAGATTAAGGATTTTGGGAAAAAATATGTATTTACTTATATTATCCTGAAGAAAAAAAATAAAGATAAATAGAAAATTTTCATAATAGAGTGAAAAATTAAAGTTTAAGGATAACTATAGGGTTAAAGTAATAAAAAAAAGATATTTGCCTTCCTTAGAAATTGAAAAAACGACATATAATTTGGGAGAAATTTTGAGTCAAAATATGAAAATTATTTTGGAAGAGGGGGAGTAGTAACTAATATTATATTTACATTAATTTAATAAATTCTATTTTTTACAAGAAATTTTGATTTCTAAATATAAAAACAGTTACTAAATAAAGAAAATAAAAAATGAAAACCAAAAATCAAAATCACACTAAATGGAGCCTAAATAATTAAAGCAAATTGAATCCATTCACTCTTTATTCTACCTACAAAATCTAAACATCTTCATCAACTAATAATCACCCAAGCAAGGAGATGGCCAAAAATAAAAAATAAAAAAATAAAAAACTTAAGCAAGGAGGAGATATTAATTGTGGCAAAAAGAGAAAAGGAAAAAGAAAAAGAGGAGATATTAATTACCCATTCCCAACCGTAAACCCAGCAATATTCCCAGCCTTGGAAAGAGCAGTCTTCCAACTCTCTATTTTCTCCTCCGCAACCGTCTGGTGAACTGCGAATCTTTTGCCAAAGCTCCCTCTCTGATTGCTAACGTCTGAGGGATCTAAATAGAAGAAGATGGGTAGTACCACCTGCCCCAACTTGTCCTTGCAATCGAGGATTTTGACGAGCTCGTCCAGGCACGATTTAGAATCGGCATAGTTTTCGGAGAACACAGTAATTGCAATTGTAGAGCTCTCTATGGCTTTTAGCAGTTCAGGGTTAATCTCTTTTCCTCTTTCCAGCTCTTTGTCATCTTTAAAGGTGTTGATTCCTGCACGGACTAAAGCTTTCTCGAGATGACTCAGGAAACTGTTGCGGACGTCTACACCTCTAAAGTTCAAGAATACCTCGTAATTACAAGGCACTGATGGGGAAGAAGCAGAAGTAGAGGCCATGAAGAATGATTGTAGATGTAGAAATAGTAATTGTCATAGATACATCTTGCGCACCCCACCCCTATTTAACATGTGATGTCTTGTCACCTGAGTAAATATTCAAGTCACAACATAAGATAACGAAATTAAAACATAAGCATTCACTGTTCAATTCTTACAAACTAAGAATATAAAGTTTATCATTCAAAAGATCTAATACTCAGAATCACTCTCTTCAGCTTCCATCATCATCATCAACTCGACCATTTTCAACTCTAGATCTAAAGGTTATAGCTGGAGTTCTAGTGAAAGCATAAGCATTGACATTTCAATTTTTACAAACTAAGAATCTAAAGTTTATTATTCAGAAGATCTAATACTCAAAATCACTCTCTTCAGCTTCCATCATCATCAACTTGACCTTTTTCAACTCTAGATCTAGAGGTTGGAGTTAAAGTTGCGTTTTTTCTTGCTTGCCCGATCCCAATTTTTGTTGCCATCTCAACATCCCCCATGTTAAATTTTCATTTGGAAAAAAAAAAAAATTTTTAGCATATTCATTGTCAATTTGTCATCTATCTCTCCAATCAACCACTCCCTGTTATAATCAACATTAGTAAAATTAATAGGGTGAATCTCATAACGAACTTTAGAGAAATAAATGAAGGAAAGCAAATAAATCAAGTACGAGAATACAGAATAAAAAAGGTGGATATTAAGAACAGTCCAACAAATAAAAGAGATGGATTCAGAGAACAATGGAAGAAGATAACAAACAAATTGGAAAAGAGAAATAGAACAAGAGATGAGTACCTGAGCCACGTGAAATTTGAGCTTTACCTTCTCCGATGGAGTGGGTTGCTGCCAGATCTGATCTGTTAGGCTGCCGGCAACTTGTTTACCGAGGGATTGGAGCGGCGTTATTCCCAGAAAGGAAAGAGATCGGAATTCTATATTTTGGATCAGGATTGGAATTCTGTAAATTTAGTATATACTGGATTAGGGATCCCTAATTTATTTACGATTAGGGATTAGAGATTTTGGATTTTTCTTTTCTTTTTTTTTTTTTTAAAATATAATTAAAGTCAAAAAGCTATTTGTTTTTTAATAATATTTTGTGCAAATTTTATTAAGTTATTAATTTTTTTTATTTTTTCAAAAAAATTAACATAAAAAATTAAAAAATTATTAAATAAATTAAATATTAAAAAATTATAATTTTTTTAATAAATAAAAAATTTTATAAATAGAAAATTATGTCCAAAAAAATAAATAAGTGCAAGGCAACATCCAAACCCTCGGCTTTCAAAATTTGAGTAAATTTAAAATTTTTATTAGAATTTTTTTTTATCATGTGTTTGTAGAGCACAATTTAAAAGTATTTTTTGTCATAAATATATATAAAAATATAAAAATTAATATTAATTTTATTATTAGATAAATTTAATTAAAAATTAATAAATTAAAAGTTAATTTTTATTTTTAATATAAATTTATAATAAAAATATATTAAATATATTTTTAATCTATAATTTAAAAATATATATTAGAGAAATTCTTTCTATTATTAGTCAAATTTGCATTATTTTGATATTAATGCCGTGAGAAAAGAATTTGGCTACGGCAAAACCATAAGTTAAGCCCCTGAACTAATCCCAGAATCGCTATTAAACCCTTAAACTTTAATTGATGCATATAAGCCCTTGAACTCTGCGATCAAGGCAATTAAGCCCTTCTTCTTACGCCAACTTAACCGCCGTTTCAGACTCGCTCGCCTGGCTTAACTGCCGTTTGGGACTTGCTCGCCTGGCTGCTTGGATGGCAAAATATTGCCATGTCATGCTTTTATGGCAAGAGATTTGACATTTGAGTTGGATTTTTAACTTATTTGATCATTTAATTTTTTTACTTAAATAAAGTCTAAATAAAATGAAGTCATACATTTGGTGGAAATATTATTTAAATAAAATCTTAAATTTAAATTTAATAAATAAAGTAATAGATATTAAAAAAAATTATGTGATTTATTATAATTTGATTTTAAATTAGTTAAAACTAATATAATTTTTAAATTTTGAAAGTTTAATAAAAATATAGTATCACTTAAAATGAAAATTTTATAATTATATGATATATAACATTAAATAAATATAATAAAAAATATATATATCAGTTTTAATTTTCAAAATAAATTAAAGTTTCAAATTTAAAGTAAGTATCTTATTTTATTTAACTAAAACTCAATTTAAAATTTAAAAGTTTATCTTATTAAATATTAATATTTAGATTTAAAAAATGATTTTATTATAATATACAATTAATTTTTAAATTTAGGTATCAATATTTAATAAAGTAAATTTTTAAATTTTACATTGAAATTTTAGTTTTTAAATATAAGTTGAGATT